AGTTTGGGGGAAATAGAATCTTGACATTTGGGAGTTGTAGTTGCTGGGATTTATAGTTCACCTACAATCAGAGCATTCCGAATCCCACCAACAATAAAATTGGGCCAAACCTCCCACACAGAAACCTCATGTGGGCCACAGCAACGTGTGGCAGGGGACGGCTAGTTATCTATATAAATAAAAATGTAATGTTCGTTTGTGGGATTAACATAACTCAAAAACCACTGGACGAATTGACACCAAATTTTAACACAATACACCTCTCAGGCCAACGAGTGATCATCACTCATAAAAACACTGAAAAAACACAGCGGAAGGGACTTAAACAGTCAAAAAACAAAGAATACATTACAATGCATGCGCAAAACCACATATACATGCAAACACACATAAACACAAATATACACACACGTATACACATATATACAGACAAAACACATATACACAGACTGGGCCACAGCAACGCATGGCAGGGGATGACTAGTCATCAATAAAAACATTGTCCAATTCCATCGTATAATTGTTCCATTTTCCTATGTCCATTATGTTATGAGTTTTATATTATTGCTTGTATTATTGTTGTTATTGTTTGTATTACTGATGTGTTGTGGGCTCGGCCTCATGTAAGCCGCACCGAGTCACTTGGGGAGATGGTAGCGGGGTATAAATAAAGTTGTTATTCAGTTCGTGTGGGTTTTTTCGGGCTATATGGCCATGTTCTAGAGGCATTTCTTCTGACGTTTCGCCTGCATCTATGGCAAGCATCCTCAGAGGTGAGGTCCTCTGCCATAGATGCAGGCGAAACGTCAGGAGAAATGCCTCTAGAACATGGCCATATAGCCCGAAAAAACCCACAAGAACTGAGTGATTCCAGCCATGAAAGCCTTCGACAATACAAAGTTGTTATTATTATTATTATTACTCAGTATTTGCAAATGCTTGCTCGAACAGCCATGTTTTACGTTCTTTTCTTTTCCGAAATGTTAGGAGCGACGAAGCGGATCTGATCTCCTTAGGGAGGGCGTTCCATAGCTGAGGGGCCACCACTGAGAAGGCCCTGTCCCTCATCCCCACCAAACGTACTTGTAACAAAGGCGAGAGCGAGAGCAAGGCCTCCCCAGACGATCTTAATGTCCTGGGATATTCTCTTGAGTTGTGACTGTCTGGTCCTGCCGTGCAATTCTTCTGGACAGAACTAGACATTCCTGGAGAGTTGTTCTTTTCAGGCAAGCCAAATAGCCCTGTGTTTCTGTGCCGTTTCCTACTTCTGCGAGGGTCCTGGGCCCCAAACCCGCGGTCCTTTGAGTGCCTCCCCCAGCCATCCGTGGGCAACGCGTTTGGAATATGAAAGCACGCATTTAGCTGAAATGAAAACAGAAGGAGCCAAACTGTGGGCCCGTTTTAAACAACTGCTGCAGAAGGTGTTGAAAGGCTGCCTCGGTCTAATTATAGCTACTGTTAAATAATGTGTTGCAATAATTAATCATCAAGTCTGCATATCGGGAAAGTGGAGCAGCCGGGGCTGGTGGTCTTTGCGTTTCGGTTGGTATTGAATGGTCTTTTCGCCTTCGGAAAATCACAAATGCTTCTCTTCTTTCTCCGAGTCTTAGAAATCAAACCATAACAATCTTGCATTAGAGTGCAAGTGTTGTTTTTGCCTTGTGACATAACTATTTGGAGAGAAAAAAAATCACCGGGCGCGATTTGCATTAAGATTAATGGACGTTGATGTGTCCAGTGAAGCGGGCCGTTGCCCTTCGTGTTACTACAACCTGATCAGCAGGTCCGGATTAACCATTATGCAAAGGATTCCTTTGCCAAGAAGACATTGCCCTCTAGAAAGCCTCCTGCTAAACCAGGCATGGGCAAACTTTGGCCCTCCAGGTGTTTGGGACTCCAGATCCCACAATCCCCAACAGGCAGTAGTGTGCCAAGTTTGGTCCAGATCCATCAAACCAGGTAAGAGTTTGATGGATAGACACACACACACAAACAGTTGTTGTAGGTTTTTTCGGGCTATATGGCCATATTCTAGAGGCATTTTCTCCTGACATTTCGCCTGCATCTATGGGAAGCATCCTCAGAGGTAGTGAGCTCTGTTGGAACTGGGAAAAAGGGTTTATAAATCTTTGGAATGACCAGGGTGGGACGAAGGACTCTTGTCTGTTGGAGCTAGGGGTGAATGAGTTGAGTCGCCTATGGGCTGAGAAACCGGTATACAAATAAAGTAAATAAATAAATGTTTCAACTGGCCACCTTGCTTAGCATTTGGTGGCCTGGCAGTGCCTGGGGCAATCTTTTGTTGAGAGGTGATTAGATGTACACAGATAATAATAATAATAATAATAATAATAATAATAATAATATGTATCGTTGAAGCCTTTCATGGCCGGAATCACTGGGTTGTTGTAGGTTTTTTTGGGCTGTATGGCCATGTTCTATGGCATTTTCTCCTGACATTTCGCCTGCATCTATGGCAAGCATCCTCAGAGGTTGTGAGGTCTGTTGGAACTAGGAAAAGGGGTTTATATATCTGTGGAATGACCAGGGTGGGACAAAGGACTCATTTCTGTTGGAGCTAGGTGTGAATGTTTCAAATGACCACCTTGATTAGCATTTGATGGCAGTGCCTGGGGCAATCTTTTGTTGAGAGGTGATTAGATGTCCTTGTTTGTTTCCTCTGTGTTGTTGTGCTGTTGTAATTTTAGACTTTTAATTTCTATATAAATACACACAGACTTTTAATTTATATATAAATACTAGCCGTCGTCTGCCACGCGATGCTGTGGCCCAGTCTGGTGATCTGGAAAATATATTTATTTTTATTTATTTATATACTACATTTGTATACCGCCTTTCTCGGTCCTCAGGTGACTCAGGGTGGTTTACAACGGCAACAATTCAATGCCCAAAAACACCATAATGAGAAAATAATGGGTAGGTGTTGGTTTGTAATATATGTCATGTCTTTCTGCTTGTGGGTAAACAGTACTTCTTGCTGTTTCTTTGTCAGTGTTGATGTGGAGAGTGTCTGGTTTGCCTACTCTGGGACATGAAACATATCATTATCCTCCTTTAGGAGTCCTTTTCAAATCTATGATACTATATCTCCGTGTGTGTGTAAATCATATATATGTATATCTATGGCTGGATGGCTCTTTGTTGGGAGGGCTTTGATTACGTTTTCTTGTCCCGGTGAAGGGAGTTGGACTGGCTGGCCTTAAGTATTTTCTCTTGGTCATGGGGGTTCTGTGTGGGAAGTTTGCCCCAATTCTGTTGTAGGTGAACTATAAATCACAGCAACTACAACTCCCAAACGTCAAGGTCTATTTCCCCCAAACTCCATCTGTGTTCATATTTGGGTATATGGAATATTCGTGACAAGTTTGGTCCAGATCCATCATTGTTTGAGTCCACAGTGCTCTCTGTATGTAGGTGAACTATAACTCCCAAACTCAAGGTCATTGTCCACCAAACCCTTCTAGTGTTTTCTGTTGGTCATGGGAGTCCTGTATGCCATATTTGGTTCAATTCCATCATTGGTGGAGTTCAGAATGCTCTTTGATTGTAGGTGAACTATAAATCCCAGCAACTATAACACCCAAGGGAGCCCCTGGTGGCGCAGTGGGTTAAAGCACTGAGCTGCTGAACTTGTTGACTGAAAGGTCGCAGGTTCGATTCCGGGGAGCAGCGTGAGCTTCCGCTGTCAGCCCTAGCTTCTGCCAACCTAGCAGATCGAAAATATGCAAATGTGAGTAGATCAATAGGTACCGCTCAGGTGGGAAGGTAACGGCACTCCATGCAGTCATGCTGGCCACATGACCTTGGAGGTGTCTATGGACAACGCGGCTCTTCGGCTTAGAAATGGAGATGAGCACCACACCCCAGAGTCAGACATGACTGGACTTAATGTCAGGGGACAGCCTTTTTTACCTATAACACCCAAACGTCAAGGTCTATTTCCCCCAAACTCCATCTGTGTTCATATTTGGATATATGGAATATTCGTGACAAGTTTGGTCCAGATCCATCATTGTTTGAGTCCACAGTGCTCTCTGGATGTAGGTGAACTACAACTCCCAAACTCAAGGTCATTGTCCACCAAACCCTTTGAGTTATGTTAATCCCACAAACGAACATTACATTTTTATTTATACAGATAACTAGCCGTCCCCTGCCACACATTGCTGTGGCCCACATGGGTTTCTGTGTGGGAGGTTTGGCCCAATTTTATTTGTTGGTGGGATTCAGAATGCTCTGATTGTAGGTGAACTACAAATCCCAGCAACTACAACTCCCAAATGTCAAGATTCTATTTTCCCCAAACTCCAACAATGTTCACATTTGGGCATATTGAGTATTCTTGTAGTTTGGTCCAGATCCATCATTGTTTGAATCCACAGTGCTCTCTGGATGTAGGTGAACTACAACTCCAAAACCAAAGGACACTGCCCACCAAACCGTTCCAGTGTGTCTTTTGGTCAGGGGAGTCCTGTGTGCCAAGTTTGGTTCAATTCCATCGTTGGTGGGGGTCAGAATGCTCTTTGATTGTAGATGAACTATAAATCCCAGCAACTACAACTCCCAAACGACAAAATCATTTTTTTGAGTGAAGGACATACATTGGGTTGTTAGGTGTCTTGTGTCCAAATTGGGTGTCAATTTGCCCAGTGGTTTTTGAGTTCTGTTAATCCCACAAACGAACATTACATTTTTATTCTATAGATGGCTAGTTTTCTTGGGGACACTCAAGGTCCATTGTGCAGGATTTTGAGCCTTAAGCATGTATTGCATTACATACCCTCCCAGCACACTGCCAGCACACTCCCAACATGTTTGGAAGCTTTGAAGCACATTGAAAAGCTGAGAACTATATCTGTTTTTCTTGCATCTTGTGTGCTTGTGTGTTGCGTACGTTATATCTTCTGATTTTGTTTGTGTAGCGTTTATCATTTGGGGGGGTCTACCTGACTTAAGTACATCGGCTTTCTGTTTTTCAGGCAAAACCCGGAGACGACGTTTGAAGTCTACGCCGAAGTGACCTATCCGGTGACAACAGGCACAGGTAACGGACATGGGTCCTGTGGACACATTAGAGCGCAAAACACATGCTAACTCAAATATTTGCCTCCCAACAGAGCTGAGTTTTTAAAGCATAGGCTAATGCTTCCCTCCTCATACGTGTCACACTGCAACACGCACCTCTCCCAGGTGTTTAGCTTTTTGTTTGTTGACACATCCCTAGGAAGATTATTATTATTAATAATAATAATAATAATAATTTGATTCCCTTCCAAAGAAATAACACAACCCCAAAAAAATATCTTGGTATCTTTGTTTTTAGGCCTGTTCCTGGGGTTATTTACGGCACTAATTCAGAAAATTGGGTAGACCACATCAGCTCTGGTTCCTTCGATAGGGCTATCCTGGTTATTTATTTATTTATTGCGTCACTAGTGAATTGAGAATACAGTTATAATCCATAGAAAAACCACAAACAAAGTTACAAACTCGGTGTGACGCTAAATGTCCTTTGACCAGAAGCTGGCCACTCGGAGTGCCTTTGGTGTCGTTGTAAGAAGGTGTGCATGTGACAAGGCCCAAGTTGCTTTGAAATAGGCGGTCTGTGGTTTGCTCTTCTCCACACTCACATGTTGTAGACTCCACTTTGAAGCCCCATTTCTTAAGGTTAGCTCTGCATCCTGTGGTGCCAGAGTGCATTCTGTTCAGCCCCTTCCAGGTCATCCACTCTTCTGTGTGCCCAGGGGGGAGTTTCTCATCCAGTCTCAGCCACTGATTGAGGTTCCGGGTCTTAGCCTGCCACTTTTGGACTCCTGCTTGCTGAGGTGTTCCTCTGAGTACCTCTGTAGATCTTAGGAAGGTGTTTCTTGATTTAAGGCATTGGCTGATATCCAAACAGGGGATGGACCGGAGATGTCAATTCTTTGGTCCTTTCATTACTGGTTGCTGCTTCCTGACATATGTCAAGTGTTGTAATACTGACTAAACAGAATAATTTCTCCAGTGGTGTTTAGGACTGTGTGATATATATATATATATATATATATAGAGAGAGAGAGAGAGAGAGAGAGAAAGAGATGATGATGATGATGATGATGATTATTATTATTGAGCACACAACAAGATTAGTACACAGCAAACAAGGTCACTCTACTGGCTGTTGTATTGGCTCACACGTCGGACACTTTCCAAATGTCTAGAAGTATGTGATGTATAGGCGAATAATGCGTGCAGATCCCAGTAAGGTGGCCTTTTGCAGCTGACAGATGGTAATTTTGTCAGCGCCGATTGTGTTTAAGTGCAGGCCAAGGTCTTGAGGCACTGCATCCGGTGTGCCGATCACCCACTGGGACACCCTTGACTGGCTTGTGCCAGAGTCTTGACGGTTCAGTCTTTAAATCTACATATCGTGTCAATTTTTCCAGTTGTTTTTCTTCAATCCTTCTGTCACCCGGGATTTCAACATCCACGATCCATACTTTATTTTTTAATACGATGGTGAGGTCAGGAGTATTATGCTTCAAAACTCTGTCTGTCTGAATCCAGAAGTCCCAGAGTAGCTTGATGTGTTCATTTTCTGTAACTTTTTCCGGCTTGTGATCCCACCATTTATTTGTGGCAGGCAGATGGTCTTTGTGGCACAAGTTCCAATGGTTCCACTGAGCAACGGTGTTGTGCCTCTGCTTGTAGTCTGTCCACGATCTTCTTGTAGCAGCTGAGGATGTGATCCATTGTTCCGCCTGCTTCCTTGCAGAGTCTACACTTGGGATCCTTCGTCGACTTTTCAATTCTTGCTTTGATGGTGTTAGTGGCACAAGTTCCAATGAATCATCTGAGCAACGGTGTTGTGCCTCTGCTTGTAGTCTGTCCGCGATCTTCTTGCAGCAGCTGAGGTTGTGATCCATTGTTTCATCTGCTTTTTTGCAGAGTCTACACTTGGGATCTGTTGTCGCCTTTTCAATCCTCGCTTTGATGGCATTGGTTTGAATGGCTTGTTTTTGGGCTGCTAGAATCAGGCCCTCCTTTGTCTCCTTTTTCAGAGTTCCATTTGTGAGCCACAGCCATGTTTTTCCCGTCAATTTGGCTCTCAATTTTTGCCAGAAACTGTCCATGGATGATGATGATGATGATGATTATTATTATTATAAGCTTCTGTGTTTGAAGGCTTTGTTAACTATGTCCATGGATGATGATGATGATGATGATGATGATTATTATTATTATAAGCTTCTGTGTCGGAAGGCTTTGTTAACTAAGATATGCCTGTATTTGTGCATGTTTACCTTTGTTTTGGCATTGTTGCAAAAGGAAAGGTGGTCTGTGGGTCAATCCTAGGCATCCCTAACTGTTTGGAAATCTTGTTTGTTTTCGGTATTGTCAAGAGGCCTGTTTGATCCCCAACCATTGTGGGAGCTTCCTAGTGCTTATTCCCCGAGGAATATTTTCCCCCATTGCCTGGTGTCGGAATATGTGGTGCGCCGCCTTTAGAGGCAGCATTATTGATTGGTAAGCCCGTATTTCAGTTGCCCTGAACTTCTTGCATAAAGCAAAGGAGCTGGTCAATCAGCAGAGAAGGTGGGCTATTAATGAAAGCAGCTTTTAGAGCTGGTTACCGGTCTCAGATCTCAGATCTAAAATTCCTGCAAGGCTGTTTAAAAAAAGAAAGGGGGGAAAAAACACCCCCGCGTCGCCCTCGGAAGCTTTGATAAGAATGGCCCCGAGCGTGTTATCATATCACCTACATTCTCATAATAAATAGGATCATTGTTATACATGTAGAGGGAAAGTAACCTCGTGAAAGAAAGAAGGAGAGTTGAATGCTGCGGAGAGAATGGAGACAAATCCGGCGGCCCCTTTTATTTCTCTCCGCCTTCCAAGTGCCTATTTTGTTTTCTTAAGGAAAGTCAGAAAAGGAACCCGGATCCGGCGATCTCGGAGACCTGTGCCGAAGGGCCTTCCTTGTTAGAAGGAGGAGCGCAGAGGATTTGGGGACAAATCTGCCGCTAATAGCATAGGGGGAAGGAAGCCCGGCATTTGTTAGTCTAAAGTAACTGATCAAAATAAGTCACCAAAGTGAGGACGTTTGAAAGCGAAGCGCTCCACAAAACCCATCTCCCTGCCTGGGAGGCTTTTGTGTCGGGCTGGTGCGTGCGCGTGTGTGCGCGCCTTTCCAAAGGAGACATCAGACACGGCAGCCGTGGCTCCTTCGCTTTGCCACGCAGCGAGCGAGAAGGCCTTTTCTCTCTCTAAGGACCTCCTCTTTCATCTTTTTTGTGCGAGCCCCGGTGAAAATCTCGCCGTGTGTTCGAGGGAAAAAAAGCAGAAAAATGCTTTGGTAGAGCTTAAACCCTTCCTTTCATTCGGAGGCCCCCGCTTTGAAAAACGACAAAAAGGAAACCACACTCGCACATCACGGGTTTAAGTTAGAAACCTGAATGCGTTATCTAGCGCAGGGGATGGAGGGAGGGAGGGAGGGATGGAGTGAGCGGCGAGTATGTTAACTAACGGTACGGTCCTGGGATTAGTTGAGGAAATGGCAGTTTCCTACAACAAAGGCATTCAAAAGAGCCCGGCTGCTCAGTCGCACTGTGTGTTTCTCTTCTCTTCTGCTAAACATACCACTAGGTTGAAAAGGGAGAGGAATCTTCCCGGGGAAATTATTAACTCTGCGGAGGGAGTTTATCATTGTTTGAGAGAATGGGCACATTTGCATTTGAACTGGCTCCCGGTGTAGCGTTTACCGTCATCTGGTTCCTGCTGGAAGCTGGAAGAGTAGTTGGCGGAACTAAGAACTTCCTACTTGGCGCTCTGACCTCGGCGGAGTCCCCGCTTTTATTTTCCCGGCAGATCACAGGAGCCTCTGCCTTAAAATTATCAAAGTCCCAGCCTCCGCCGGCAGGTACTGCTGTGCATGTGGGCCGTGAGAATCGCTTTCCAGAGGTAGGCCTTCCGCAGGTGAGAGAGGAGACAGCGTTCAGGACTTTCTTCGGCTGGGAAATCGGATGCGGGGCGCGCCGGACCCAGGCTGGGAACATGAGAGCTCTGTTGGCATGCACCAATTTATTCATTCATTTATTTAGAACTTTTATAGACCGATCTTCTCACCCCCAACGAGGGACTCAGGCCGGTTTACAACAAAGGGATTCATGCACAATAGTTTAAAACATCACACCCAATAATACACTAATATAAACACATTAAAGTACTATTATATAATTATATAAGGCCAAGTCGTTAGCATAAAATCACTATTCATCCCCATCCGTCCGTGTGGTCAAGAGTTATTGTCTCACTCGTCAAATGCCAGATTCCAGAGCCAGGTTTTCACCAACTTTCTAAAGGTCAGGAGGGAAGGGGCAGATCTAATCTCCAGTGGGAGAGAGTTCCAGAGCCGAGGGGCCACCACCGAGAAGGCCTTGTCCCTCGTCCCCACCAGACGCGATTGCGATTGTGGTGGGACCGAGAGCAGGGCCCCTCCAGAAGATCTTAACAACCTTGATGGTTCATAGGGGAGAATCCGTTCGGACAGGTAAACTGGACCGGAGTCGTTTAGGGATTTATAGATCAGCACCAGCACTTTGAATTGTGCTCGGAAGCTAATTGGCAGCCAGTGGAGCTGGCGCAACAGAGGAGTAGTGTGCTCCCTGTACCCCGCTCCTGTTAGTAATCTGGCTGCCGCTTGTTGGACTAATTGCAGCTTCCGGGCAGTCTTCAGAGGCAACCCCACGTAGAGAGCGTTGCAGTAGTCTATACGGGATGTAACCAGAGCGTGGACCACCGTGGCCAAGTCAGACTTCCAAGTCAGACTAAGGGTTTATATGGAGCGGTGGTTCTCAACCTTCCTAATACCGTGACCCCTTAATACAGTTCCTCATGTAGTTGTGACCCCCAACCACAACATTATTTTCGTTGCTACTTCATAACTGTAATTTTGCTACTGTTAGGAACCATAATGTAAATATCTGATATGCAGGATGTATTTTCATTCACTAGACCACATTTGGCACAAATACCTGATATGCCCAAATATGATTTTGTCATTTT